TTACTATACTGCGACAATACAAGATAATTATGCGATGCTGCTAGGTTATTACTTTCATATACACTACTGGGACTGACTGAAGTACTCCTGGTGTGGTTACTATGTTGACTGAATACTGGTAAAACTCACTCTTCTTCCTGTTGTTAGATATCCATAAATATTTAGTTGGCTTCAAACATAATGGATTGTCTAATATATATTTATGGCTGAGCTTTAATGGATACTGCTATGATACAACAGCCACAGAACCATGAGCAATAATGTACATGCTCTTTGGCCCCACCATTTATTTTTTATGAAATTATATCTAAAAAAAATATATACCGAACACAGGAACATATACATCATGCATGAAATATTGTATATTTGGCAAGTCTTTATAGCAATACAAAAACAACATATGAATAGGAAAGGACAATGCTAACATGCAAGCTTGAAGAAGCCCAGAAGGGATATTTGAACATATTTCACCCTGTTAAAGTTCTTTCAGGTTTCACAATCTGTGGTGTAACGCTCTACATGATACAAGTGTGCTTTTTAAAACAGTTCTGTTCTGTGCAAACAACTGAAGGATTGTATCTCTTCAACTGTTGGATTTTATATTTACTCTTTATAATGCACTGTGGCTATTTATTATTTTAATCCCATGTGTGTCTTTAATGTTTTAAGGTTTTTAATTACTTGTGATTGTATTATGTTTTTAATATTTGTGTTTTTTATGTATATGTAGATTTTAATTTTCATGATTTGCTTGATATGATGTGGGTTGTGAGGCGCTTTGTGTTGCCTTGTGTAGGAAAGGCACTATACAAATACAAGTTGATTGATTGATTGTTGATATTATGAATTTGTGATTGTTGTGCTTCTATTCCCAAATTTGGCTTCATCTGGGGAATGGAACAAGGTGAAGCAGAGAAACTCCACTTCTGATTGGCTATTTGGTTGCTAGGTAGTTACTATCCAAGAAAAAGTCTTGTTAGAGTTAGCTATAATCTGCTTCTTCTAAGAAAAGTTAAACAATAAAAGCGATTTCAGCTTTCAGTCAGCCCACTCCTTTCCACAGTCTATAGTCCTCAGTATTAGTGGGCTTGCATCTCCATAAACCTGACTTAAACCTGCCTGTAGGAGGGATTTCTTCTGTGCGTCTCCACGGAAATGTGTGGAAGTTAACACTGTTGGGTTTTGCATCTGAATACAGTTAAGTGGAACGCTAAGTGAAAGTGAAAACAATTTATTTCAGTAAAAAAAAAAGTTAAATGCAGTAAAATAACCTTAAATAGTCCTACTTTAGACCCGTACAATTGAAAAACATAGCAGGGCTCTCAGCGAGGCTTGAATAATGCAGGTATAATCCATTGGCTTGCAGAAGTTACACCATCATGTGCAAAAAAGGACAATAAAAAATGTATGCTAGCTGACTATTTTTATTTTCTTATGCCAGTGATACTGTGCTGTATTTGTAAAAATCAAAGTAGAGCTTTTGTTCTACGACAATAACACTGAGCAGACATTTATATAGTTCTTGTATGCCATTCAGTGCAATCATATCTTTTCATTCACCAAAATGTTTTAGCCTGACTCCACTGACAAAAGAGACAAAACTAGGACACGCTTTTGATTAAGAGAGCCACAGCTGAAGTTCAGGTTTTATTGTCACCTTTTCCACTCGCAGTAAAAGCAAAGAACACACTTAATTTACACGTTTTAGACTCTAACCCACAAAAAAAAAAGAAATGTTCTGACCTCAAAGTAGTCATTAAATAGAGAAATGAAAGACAATTGTATCAGCCTCTACTGTCAGTCACTTGTACAACATCCATTGTTGGCGTTTTTTTGCACCTCCTGTCTCCAGATATGTTCATTCCACCATAAACAAGCAGATGAAAAACAATAACACTTAACATTGGCTGTAAGTCATTGTAATTAAAATGTTTTCTGCTCAGTTTTAGGAGCCGAAATGAGGGAACGTCCCCCGAGTTTTGTGGTGAGGAAGTGATAATGACCAAGAAAGAACTGGAGCCAGAAAAGTCTTAATTAAACACAGTGTGAATATTTGTTTTGTTTGCAATTAACAGGGCGCATCTCTGTGGGAGAGACGTGGGCACAGGACTATTTCAAGGTACGTTCGTCACATTGTTCTGATGAGATGTGATTGGTGATATGCCTCGCTACTAAATATTAGTTAAATAGGTGGTTGTAAAAAAGGGCGACAGTAGCTCAGTTGGTAGAGCATTGGCCTTTGGGCCTGAAGGTCGTGGGTTCAAGCCCATCGTAAGATCTACTTCACGACTCCCACTGATGACTGCTGTCGTTGTGTCCTTGGGCAAGACACTTAACCCCACTTTGCCCAAAGCCCCAACTGAAAAGATCTCAGCTCCTGTGGACTCACCACCTGCAGGAGGATCAGTGAGGGGCTGGTGCTATGTGTACTGGGTGCTGCTCTGACTGCCGCCCCCCCGACCCAGAAATGGATTAAGGGGAAGAAAATGGATGGATGGAGGTGGTGGTAAAACGGATATGTACAGTAAATACAAAGAAAAAAGTAATTTTCTGGTATAAAGGGAATATTTTGATTGACTTTAGAAATTATGTATGAATTCATTGGCCTCTATTTAACAAGCATAAATGTTTTTGTACATGTGGTAGTACAAAACTATGTAAAAAATCAAAACACCCAAATGAAACTCTGCTTCATTCTGACCTGGGTTCGAACCTAGAGCCTTCTTGCTGAGACTTTGGAAATTAATTTGTATGTGGCATGGGATTTTCTCTGACACAGATAATTTCAAAGTCGTAACAGATAAATAAATGGCAAGAGGTCTACAGAAATGTAAACAAAACAAAGACAATGATATCAAGTGTCAATATGCTATAAGTGCTCAGATATCCTTGCCCATAGTAGCTGCCTGTGACTCACGGTGGCATATTCTACCGGCAGGATGCCAGGGGCCTTGAGAAGTCTTATGTAACAGTCTCATACATGAATCACTCTCAACTTCAAACGGAAGCTGAAGCCGCTGCTTTCTCTCACTCTATATAAAAGACCTATGCTTCTATTGTCTTTGGAGGATGCATTGTGTAAATAATTGTTCACATATAATAGATGTAGCATGTTGTTCATAATAAAGTATAATTCCATTGTCTGCAACACATTGTCAAACTTGAGGTCATGCTTTTAACAGTATACAACCCAGTTTCATTTATTCTACTAAGAAGACAAGATGAATCTTCTTAAACTAGTATGTAAACCATTTCTGGGGGACTGTCCCTCATACATGTGTTTTATTGTGTACTAAATTAGCCACAGATACACGCTTCACATGAGTGGGCTGGCCTCTCTGCAGATCTGGATTGATACTTGCCCCTTGGGGTCTAACCTGCACATTTGTTAATATTTTGGTAAAAGCCATACAATGCTGATGAATAGGATGCTTTGCCATAAAGTGCCGCTTTAAGTTGGAGCTGGTTTAGTATGAGGTTTGACTAATGTCTCCACAAACCAGTTGTGATGTATATCATAAACAGTATGTTAAAACTAATACACCTGTGTAAAACTAACCTGGGTGACCTTTCCATTTCCATCCCATCCTCCCTTTCTGGATATGATCTAAGTAAATACTGAAAAGAAAAGATCATGGAACCAATGTTCTGGCAGGGCACTACCTTAGGAGGAGGAACTCAATCATACAGGAGGAACACAGAGTAGAGCTGCTGCTCCTCCACACCAAATGTGGATGCAGCTTGTGGAGGCCTGATAGTGTTCAGGCATGTACCACTGCGAAGAGGCCCTGGGCACACTCCGGAGGGACAACTGATTGTGTGAAAATACATAATTATGGATACAGCTGCTGAGTCATACTGTTAATATGGCATATCTGAACAAAAATACAGGCTTGGGGTAGTTTCATGACAATCTCTATCAGTTATTCTGAATTTATTGGTGTCCCATTAATGAGTATCACCATTTAATTGGTTCTTCTCTCAAACTGCTCTAAATATAAAACACTGTCTACCTTCAATGCCAATCACTCACTCTCCCATTGTGTAAAACCCACTGAACCATAACAATATCTGCCCTATAGACATCCACTGCAAGTCAGTCAGGTGAAGAGTTTACCCAAGCATGTTGTGTATGCTGCATGTGCATACAATCTGAGATACACCAAGATCAACATCTTGGTTAGACACAGAGCCCTGAGGCATCCTTCACTTGGAGACTGATTGATTCGACTTGATTTACCCTATGTTCCTTCAGCAATAAAAGTAAAGCTGGAATGCACTGCCCGGAAAGCAGTAATTAGATATAATAGGGCACTCTGTATGTCACATGAAATGCTATTGAAAATGTCTGCCATTTTGGATTTTCCTTTTATTCCCACACAACGTCAAACTAAAAAATACATCTTTATAAAAACTGACAGTCGCATGCATCCCCCCTTGCCATATACACTAATTCCCGGCCGTGATGAGAAAATCAGTCTTTGAGAATGGACTTGATTCACGAAGACAGCTTAGCAGTCTGGATGTAGCCTTAGCTTCATTCTACTTAGCTTAGTACCACCACTATGCTATTTCTCACAGCGAGCAGATTGGGACAGACCGCTCCAAACAGCGCGCAATAAGACCTTTATCCATAATATGCCCGGGTATAATCATTGACATGGATCGTCTGAAAGCATACGGGCTGTGGGAAGAACTGCACAGAGATTTTCATTGATGGTGTGACGCTCCAATCCGTGTGTGTCACTGAGGCCAAAAACAATCCAAACAATCGTATATTACGTGTAATCATAGCGTGGTTTGAGTAATGGCATTTGCACTATGTATAAATGTGATCACCACCCTATGCTTCTCTAAATACCTCCACTAAGGCTTCCCGAAAGAGGCTGCACACGTTCAGATAACTCGCACACAGCAAGACCCGCAAATGTCTTATTGTTTCTAGTACATGAAGATGAAGACGTGATCCCAGCACCAAACGGCAGTCGTTATGTTCTTACCTCGTCGGGAGATTAGCGGCGATAAAGACCCAGAGAAGCAGCTTGAGAGGCAGAGAAGGCTTCGCCATTGTTGTCGAGCCTTTGGAGGCTAGATTGGGAGAAGCCATCGACAGCGACTTCGTTCCCCCTCTTTGCAGCAGATGTCCGACTGTTTTAGAGCGTTCCCTCCTTACGAAACATTACGCACGCTATAGCCGGGGTCTGTCTGTGCCAGCGAGACCCTGTGCCGATCAGCCACAACACAGATCAATGCGCGTCGAGACCTGATTTGGTTTTGTTCTTGTTATTGCGCGCTGGCTGCTCTTCCCCCTTCGCGCTGCTGCTGCTGAGGATGCTGCTGCTGTCGGTAAAAGGAGAGCCACGAGTCCCGTAGAACCAGGCCGCTATATGGACGGAGCGCGGGAGAGGATAAAACGCAGCGTAGTTTGTGGCTGAGCGCAGATTATCGTGGGGTCAGGGAGCCGCTGATGCACGTTGCTGCAGCACGGATCAACACATGCGTGGTTTCAGCCAGCGGAAACACTGGCATCCGGGGCTGTGGTCATTTGAGTCTTCTAACTATGCCATCACAATAAATGCCATCACTTAACATAGTGAACTATTAGGGATTCAATAATTGTCACTGGAATGTAGACATAAAACAGACAGGCCACACATATTGTTATGTTTTTTATGTTTTTATTTTATATATGTTTTGGCAAATTAAACCCCCTACAGGTTTGATTAAATGGTAGACATTGTTCCATTCCATTTACAGATTATAATAATTATGCTGAAAAGTGATAGACCCTCCACCAAAAAACCTAGTTCATATGTATGCCAATAAATGGGCTTTGCATTCTGATACAAACACGGTTTTGTTCATATTTGACATTAACTTAATACATTAATTGACTGGGTGGCACAGTGGTTGCACTGAGCTGGGTGGAATCCAACCCAGTACCAACAACATTTGTAAAGTGCTTTGTGACGCTGTCTGTGAAAGGCTGTGTAATCACATTACTTACTCACCTACGAATTACTAGAACATAAAATAAAAACATAAACAAATACACTTATTCCTAAGGTTAAACGTTGTGGGCATATGGGTATAACATCAGCACAGATCACATGGTGATTAATAATCCAAAAAATATGAACTATTTTGAAGGGTAAAAAGTCAAAATGTTGCCTGGATTTCATTGATTGTGTTTTACTATTGCAGCAGTATCTCAGTATCTTCTGATATACATGAACAACATCAACCAGTGATATTAAATTATATAATCAATCAATACATAAAATATGTGTGTCATATAAATACATTAAATATCCTGGTGTTGTGTTTTGAGCCAAAAGAGCCTCGTCATGTCGCGGTTGCCATGGTGACCTCACACACAGAAATCCTCTCTCTTTGCTGTCGCTGCAGCAGCTCAGAAACATCTCTATAATTACACCAGTGGTTTTCAGGTGTGCCACCGTCTGCTTTCATACAAATGTATTTAGTTTCCTTTAAATGGGACACACAGGCATAAATCCAGTGCAGTCACGCTTTCAGCACCACGGACAGCTCAATTAGTCTTCTCTGCTTTACAAACCGGCAATCAGCACCAAGGACAGCTTCTGCCACTGCACGGCTGCTACAGTGAGGGATGTGCCACTCAACTTTGAGGCTAGTTCTACCGAAGTAGATTATATAGGCAGGGAATTAAAGCTGGAGTACCTAACTTTTGTTGTCGTTTCATGCATACATTGTGTTTGTCCGAACAGGAAGAGTTTAAGAAAAACTTTGTGAACAAATCAGACCATCACACACTGTCTTTACCGTATTATGACATATTTTATTTTTTTGTGAGAACTGGTACTCTCCTTTCTATCTGAAAAAGCTGGGAGAGGCCTAAACTACATATACTATTTTGAGAGCTATGAACTACTTATATGGATTTAATGACATAATTAAGTGGTTTATGGTTTCAAAGTTGGATACTTCAGCTTTAAGTCTATACAGATCTAAACTGTTGAAAAACCCTTTTATGCTCATTACACTTTTAGTTGTAGTAGTAGTAGTGGCAGTAGTAATAGCAGTAGTGTAGTAGTAGTAGTAGTAAAAATAGTATAACACTCCTATTCAGACCGGCCTACTCACTGCGACCCTACATCTCACTGTCAATGTTTAACAGTGGAATTGGTTCAATGGAAATTAAATAAGAAACCAAACACATAATGTTTGACGCATTCACAGCCTGCAACCCCGTAATGAGAAAAGGCATTGGAAACACAACATAACAGTATAATCAATAATCATTAGTAGTCTGTACTGAGACTGTACTAAGTATTCATAGCAGTAAGTAAAATGCAGCAGCTGTGATAGAGATACTGTACCTGTGTCTACAGGTGCAAGCATATTGTATTAACATTCTATTGTGAGGGCAGGAACAAAAAGCATATCTCTCTTATTCACCTTAAGGGGGTGTGGACATTGATTCAATTGGGTGAGCACTAAACCCGTTGCCAAAATTGGAGCTTAAAAAGAGAAAGCAGAGACATTGTGTTTTGAAATATATGCATTTTTGCAAGTCCCCTGACATATCACCAACCCGCTCATGTATCCGGGGGTTTGCATTGTCCTTTGTACCCATTTCAATGCGCTTATGTAAGTATGCTAATGCGTCTCGCTTTGGCGGAGGCCGGGTAACTTTTCCCAAGGACTCCTTCAGGGATGTTTGAGAAAAACTATGTGTTCATAATCTAAAATACAAAATGGCTGCCTGTCCCGCTATGACTCATAAATTACTCTCCTACTACCGCTTAGCTCTAGTACTATCTCTCCCCAGCTTCCCCATCTTCAAACACTCTCAGCAATTGATGGACAGCTCCTTTCCTTTTTTCTTTTCTACATTACTTTCAGGGAAAGAGTAAATAAAAATAATAATACATAAAATGGAAAAAATCTTGTGCATAATGGCTGTCTATGTAACAGTATGATGTGCAAACTAGGTCACAGGCAGCAGCAGCAGCTCTGACCCAAGGACATCTCACATCTGCCAACTTTCCACAGTCTTTGCCCCACCCCTGCTCACAGAGCTCCGGAGTGATGATTAATTAGCAAATATCAAACCATGTTACTGTCAGAAGGTAAACATGTCACTAAATCAGTGTAAGCAATTAGTTATGTACTGAAAGAGTGTGTTGCTGTAGTTTCAGCATGAGAATTACTATATTCCATAAATTCCACCTTGGAGGCTAAGCAGGATTAGGTCAGGTTAGAATTTGGCTGGGAGACACTGGAACTATTTAGTGGAGCCTCAGTAACTCTGTGTCCATACCCAGCATGAGATAATTATTGATAATCGTCAAAAAAGGCAGATTCGCAGATTGGGATCCATCACTCCATCTCTATATCCCAGGACAATGAGGTCATATTAGTACTTTACATCTCCACAGAGTCATTGAATTATGCTACAGACATTAAACAAGTAAAACGTGCCCCTTTGTATTTCTTGTTCCAGTTATTTTCCAGTAACTTGGTCAGTTCGCCAACTTTCTATTATTGCCTTTTGATTTATGTGATGCAATCCAATCCCAATCATCCTATCTCAAGAGCAGCAGCAGAACAAAAGCACATTTCAATCTGGAAAGTCTCAGACAAAAAGCTGTAATAGAAGGATGTTTATTGAGTTAGGTGTTAGGTGTACATGACATTTATTGACTAGCATGGTATAGATAGATAAGTATTGACATGGCTTTGGCACTTTGACTTTGGCAAACATACAGTATATGCAGGTGTGAATTGAATATAGATTATGAAAGTGAAATCCTCTCAGGGTCAAAACACTGGTGGTAGTGGAAGCTGCAGATATCAAGAGTGACGAGAGGTGGCGGCAAGGAGGAGGTGGGTTGCTGCATGAGCTGAAAACATTCCCGACGGTATGTAGGGCAGGGTTTATATACAGCAGGCGAAGCGGATACTGATTAGCAGAGACACAGATGGGGTGTAGTGGCAGGATTTAAGTGAAGAGACTTGGGCCACAGGAGAGGCTCAGGTCTTCTAGTTCCTTCACTATAGCCTTCACTCAGACTACTCCTCCAGCAGTGGGTCTCTTTTCATCTTCTTCTTTCATTATATTGCTGAAGTAAGACGTTTGTTCACATCGGTTCAAAACATAGACCTTTGTATGATATTAGGGGCACAATCGTATTAGAGAACTACAGTATGATCATTATAAGATCAGTTTTGTGCTTTGTTGTTTAACTACTACAGAAAATGGCGACAGTAGCTCAGTTGGTAGAGCATTGGCCTTTGGGCCTGAAGGTTGTGGGTTCAAGCCCACCTTAAGACCTACTTCAGGACTCCCACTGATGACTGCTGTCATTGTGTCCTTGGGCAAGACACTTAACCCCACTTTGCCTGAAGCTCCTACTGAAAGATCTCAGCTCCTGTGGACTCACCACCTGCAGGAGGATCAGTGAGGGGCTGGTGCTAAGTGTACTGGGTGCAGCTCTGACTGCCACCCCCCCGACCCAGAAATGGATTAAGGGGAAGAAAATGGATGGATACTACAGAAAATAGTAAAAGAAAGTTCAGGCAGAGCAAGAAAATGACAAAGCAGATGGTGGAACCTTTTGTAACTCTTTGATTATAATGAAAATGTTGAAATCGGTATGCTTGTTAAACAACACTCAAATTGGTGCCCTCAGTTTTGTGTTTTACAAACTTAGCTGTTTTAACAAGAGATATTTATATTTTGTTATTGGTTGTTCCCGTTAAAGATTCGCATTTGAATAATTCCCCGAAAAATACAACATGATTTTGGTATGGGGCTACTCCTCAGCACTGTTCACAATGTCTTCTGTCTCCTCTCCCGTCTTTAAACAAGTCAACCCTTTGCCCTTGCAGAGCTGTGGAAGTTGTAAGACTATAGTAAGTGTTGGAGAGAAGCAGGTGAAATCAAATCAAGCAGGTGTTAGCAGCAATCTCAATGCTATGCCGCATTAGCCTTAATTCCCCTCTGAGTTTTTATACCACATCTATACAAGCGGTAAAGGCGCTTTTTACAATCCCACAAGGACACAACTTTGGGAACTGTCATCACTCATACAGTCTATCTTGGAAAACACAAACTCAAAT